TTCCAGAAGGTACAGGAAAATAAAGGTTAAACAGAGAAAAATAATCCCACTGAACAGAGATCAATGTTTAGGTCTAATGAGATTATTAGAATGTATGGAGCATGGTACCAGAAAGAAAGGAACTAAGAATAGAAATCTGCATAAGGTTCTGTGAGCCTTTGGTCAAATACTGAATTGCACATGCACAGTACAAAACACCATCAAGTCTTGTAGATATAACTTACTGGGACCTGTGAGTTGGAGATCCTAGACATTCCATAGTGCTATGAGACACTGAAGCTTTCATTAAGAGGGGAGAAACCTTGCTAATACCCAGAACACTTAGCTGAGAACTCAGAAATGCCACACCTTGGAAGTAAAACTAACCCCAAAGGAAGAATAATCTAGACATGGACTAATAAAGCCCAAAACCAAACTTCAAAAGGGCAAAAATTCTTAGCCATAACCAAACACCTTGAAAGTATGAGTTACTGAGCTTGGAGGCTCAACTGGCATATCATACTCCACAAAGAATATGTTCTACATCCTACTTTGGTGAGTAGGAACTGAGGTCTTAAAACTTCATGAATAGCCATCTAAGTGGCATAAGGTCTCTCACTGTATGAAGCAAAAAAGAAGGAAGAAAATAAAAACACAGAGAAACAATTAGTCCAAAGGAACCACACAAACATCAGACTCTACAACCCTGAGACTAGAACTAGATGGTGTCCAGCAACTGCTGCCGTTTGCTCTGAAAGAGATCATAAGAGAAGGTCCTTGAAGGAATGTGAGGAAAATGTGGAACAAGACTCAAAATTATAAGTAAGACCAGGCTTACTGGTCTGATAGAGACTGGTGGAACCTCCAAGACCATGGCCTTTAGTTACCCTTCAAGCCTGGAACTGAACTCAACCCCATGGCTCAACTTTCAACCAAATAATACATAAACTACTAAGGTGAACAATAACACCAAGGAGGTTCACCACTCCTTAGAACAATTAACTATACAAGATCAAAATAGCAGTATAGTATTTGTGTAGAAAGAAAACTAAGAAGGCAGGAAGGGATAAAAAAAAAAAAAAAAAGAGGGATAAATGGAAATGGAAAACACAGGGAGGAAGTGGGGAGAGGACTGTTATATTGTAGGGATTGAATTAATGTCACAAAATAAAATGTGTATGAATTGTTGAATGGAAAACCGATCTGTTCTTTAAACCTTAACCAAAATCACAATAAAAAGTCTTTGAAAAAATTTTAAAAAGGACAAAGCTAAGCTATCAATAAATTAACTTCCTTCAAGGACAAAAAGCAACAATCTTAAAAGAAAATGTAATTCATATTCACAAAACATAGTAATCATAATATAATGAAAAATATTAGACATGCACATAGGAAAATCAGGGGGAAAAGTCAATAGAAAGAGATGCAGAGATGGCACAGATTTTAGAATTAGTTGATAAGGACTTAAAGAAACAGCTATTATACATATGTTCATGACTAAAGGACAAGATGAACATATGAGAAAACTGTTGGAGATTCTCAACAGATAATTAACCCAAAAACAAAAATTGCCTTCGAGTTAATTCTGATTCATACCAACAAAGAACTAGAAACTATTTTTTTTTTTAAAAGAAGAATTAAAATTCTTCAGCTAAAAATACAATATCTGAATGAAAATTTATTGGATGGACTTATCACCAGAAGAAGACAATAACTTCTCAATATCCAGTAAAATTACAGGTACATGTACTGAATTGAACTGTGCCTCCCAAATATATGGGCTGTAAATTCTAACTTCTAGACCTGTGGATGTAATCACATTCAGGAACAGTTAAGAAAACTGTTCTTTGTTATGCTAATGAGGCGAAAACCAGTGTAGGGTAAGTTTTAAACAAATCACTTTTGAGATACAAAAGAGTAGATTAGAAACAGAAGGAAGCAGGCACAGGGGGAAGACCAACTCTGTCTGAAGATGATGGAAGTAGACCAGTCTACAACCACAGGAACTGTAAGGATGGCTGACTAGAGAAGCTGAGACAAGGATTTCCCTCCAGAACAGAGAGAGAGAAAACTTTCCCCTAGAGCTGGTGCCCTGGATTTAGATTTAAAGCATTCTAAACTATAAGAAAATACATTTCTGTTTTTTTAAGCCACACACTTATGGTTTTTCTGTTATAGGTTTGTTGTTGTTGTTAAATGCCGTCGAGTCATTTCCGACTCATAGCAACCCCATGCACAGCAGAACGAAACACTGCCCGATCCCG